TATTGGTCACTTTCTAAATAATAAAAGTACTAGTTATATATAAATGAATCGTTTTTTACCGATGCAAATATGTTCGAAACGATGCATCGCGATATAAATGCCAACTTGTAACCAATGCACTCTTTTTAAACCGATGCATCGCATCGTTAACTTTTTATGCTGATGCACCGAGCGAATCGGGGAATCTTCCCATCCCTAGTGCAGAAGAACGCAGTCTGATCATGAACCAGAGGCTGAACTTACTTATTTTTCATCAAGTCTTTTCTTTTCTTTGTCAAGTTGAAGTTGGGAATGGGATTGATGTGTTCTCTACAAGTCAGTTTCCACTTAATCAGTGCTAGTTTTAGTTAATACTGTCAACCAGTATGAGAGATTCTTGGTCCAGCTGATGAAATCATCACCATCCCAATTGGACCTGTGTGTATGTCCTTCACTCAAACAATCTTACATTTGTTGACAGTGAAAGTCTTTTTATGACTTGCAGACTTCATTTACTTTTCAGTGCTGTTCTGTCAAATACATAAATATAGCTGTCATATCTGCCACAGATAAATGATATATATATGGCACAGATTAACTTTTGTCAAAATGGTTGTGGCTTGGAGTGGCTTTAGGCTGAAATACACTAGAGGACTATAAAAATCTTAAAAATTTTTAAAACACTATGCATTGATTACTTTGTATATGCTTACAGAGGAAAAACTTTGCTTTATACATTAATCCTTCTACTGGATGTGATCATAGTCCAACGTTAACAAATCAGAGTCTGTGCCCATCATACGCTATGCAATTTTCAGTCAACTCCGACCGGCAAAAATCTGTTGACTAGCTCTGACTAGTGTTGCTTTCGTCAACGAAAATTATGACTAAATATCGTCGTCAACGAACCTTTATTACGTGACGAAAACGAGACGAGACGAAAATGCTGGTCATGTGACGATGACTATAATTAAATGTATAATGCAATATCGTTGACGAATAAAAACGAGACTAAATGTGGTTTACAAAATAAAAACTATGCTAAAATGTCTCTTAATTTTCGTTGACCAAAACGAGACGAAACAAAATGTTATAACGTTATTTCGTCTCGTTCAGTCGCGTTATTATTATTATTTTGCAGTATACTAGGTACTTATACTATATTGACTGGGTTAAATAGAATTGCATTTCTAAAAAGAGACTAAAATACAATTTTCATTGACTAAAACTAGACTAAATGTCATCAGTTTTCGTCGACTAAAACTAGACTAAAATGCTCAGACTCTTAGTTGACTAAAACTTGACTAGATTAAAAAAATTGTGAACGTGACTAAAACTAATACAAACTAAAATGACAGTTTCACACAAAGACTAGACTAAAACTAAAATTAAAACAGGCCGCCAAAAACAACACTAGCTCTGACTTTAGGAAACTAGTTTTGACTCTTCCAGAATGTAAATCTGGGCAAAAGTCACAGTGTATTCCAGCCTTTAATTAATTTTGGAAGCATTATTTACAATATGGTGGAAATTATATAATAATATTATTTAAAATGACATGTAATATTATAATATATTGTTCTTCATTATATTCCAGTGTGAAATATTTTCTATTTTAATATATTTCAAAATATAATTTATTCCTGTGATAGCAAAGCTAAATTAGCAGGCAGTACTCCAGTTTTCAGTGTTGCATCATTGTAGTTATTTTAATATGATGATTTGCTGCTCAAGAAACATTTCTTCTTATCAATGATTTTTTTTTCTTATATATTTCTTCAAAATGTGTTTGCCTTTTTTTTCCCTTTGTTTGTGTGGGTGGAGAAAAATACCCTCATTTGTACACTTTTCACAAATCGAGTCAAATCCCAATGGATCATATCCAGTCCCACTCTACATTATCTCACAATGAATATGTTTCCATATGAAAATGTTACAGTACTTGGGTTTACATGAGTTTATGGTTTGCAAATGCTGTCTAATGTTGACTTTGACAATTCAATCAAAATATTTTCATTCAATTTTATGCCATTGCTTGAGAATGGGTTTCGAAAAAGTTGTGCTGCTTAGTATTTTTGTGGAAACCATGATACATTTCTTAGTCTTATTTTATTTTACTTTTTCATTACTAGTAAAATCTCTTCCAGCAGAAGGTATTTGTATTGTGGGCTTCGACTGTCTTTTCGTCAGAGATATCGTACTTATTGGCAGTCATGCCGAGATCTGTGTTTGAAACCCCTGTGTCCACAACGGTTTGGGTCCGGAACATGGTTAGTATCATCCTCACATGAGATATCAGGCACTCATCTTGTTTGTGTCCAAAGTGCTGAGATACGCAGGCTCATCCGGCTGACCTGTATCTTTAAAGTACTGATCCGGCCACTTAGCAATAATGGAAAGAAATCAGACTGACAGATAATCTCATTTTAAAAGAAAGTCTTAGACTTTGGGGTCAAATAAATCCCTGTAATGTTAGTCCAGGTCTGCTGCTATCATTCTATACTGCTGGAATGTTAGAAAGACAGTCTGGGCCTGAGGTTTTAAAGGCCGAAAAATAAATAATGTACCTTCCTGACCTGGCGTCTATCCAGTGCTTTGAGCCTAGACACACACACACTTCACTTGTCCTCCGGCTCAAATGCCGACCCTTTGAACCCAAAGGTAAACACTCACCCACTCTTCCACACGAACCCCTCGCATTCAGATGCACAGAACGCACACAAACATATGCTCACATGCCTTTCCTGTTGGATGTTTGCTTGCTCCTGCTTTCACAGAAAGGTTTACTGTCTCACAATTATTGCGCTGTTTCCCCCGAACAGATGTGGAGATTGTGCAAGAAACTCAGCTCCAGTGTTTTCAAAACACACTTTGTCAGTCTATATTTCTAAGTAATCATCACAGATTTGTTGACAAGTTGGGCGAGAGGGAGGCACGCTTGAATTTATTACTGTGTGTGATACATCTGGCTGCTATGTTAACAATGTAGCGGGCCAGCATCAAGAAATCAGTGATGGGAACTGCCGACCTCTGATATCAGCCGTGCTCGTGCTAGTCTGGATCATCTTATCCTGGGCTTTGTATATTTAACCCCTCACTGAGCTAGGAACCGGTTTGATTGTGTTTTCCCTCCTGACAGATTTAATTGGCTCCCCGCAGTCTTGATTTAATCATTTTGTACTAAAGCCTCTCGGAGATGTTTCAAGGTCTGTCCAGTTCCTCCCGCTATGAAGACACGGGCCAAAAACTGTCAGCCCTCTCCAAAATAACTTTCTGATGAGGAACTGGAGATTTATAGTTTTCAAACTCAGCAGTTTAGCTTTTTTAAGCAGTTAGCTGTTTTAATTTGCAGTGAAAGTCTTATTTAGAATCACAAAATTTGATTCATTTTAGTAGTTCATGTCATCATTTTGAAAGTGTTTTTTTATTTTTTTTATTTACATTATTAGCATTATTACTTAGCATCATCATGCCTTTTTTGGCAAGTGTGTTTAGTCATTATAGTCGTTCATTAGTTTCATTACCAGCATTCTTTAATATTATTGCCCCCTTTATTTTGTTGCAGTTGTTTTTAGCTTTATAAATTTCATTATTCATTGTTAGCACTATCAATTGACATTTATTGCCTCTAAGTAATTTTTATGTACACTAATGTTCAAATGTTTGGGGTCAGATTGGGAAAAATTTATACTTTTATTCAACAAGGAAGCATTGCATTTATGTAACATTTATATTGTTGCAAAACATGCTGAACTTTGAAACTATCTATTTATCAAAGAATCCTGAAAAAATGTATCAGTTTCCATTAAAATAATGAGCAGCACAACTGTTTTTAACATTGATGATAATAATAATAAATGTTTCTTGAGTTGCAAATTAGCATATTATAATAATGGTTTCTGAAGGATCATGTGGCACTGAAGACCGGAGTAATGACGCTTAAAACTTCAGTTTAAAATATATTAAAATAGAAAGTAAATTGTAATAATATTTCTCAATATTACTGTTTTACTGTATTTTTTATCAAATAAATGCAGTTTTGTTGAACATAAAAAAACAATAAAAACCTTACTAAACCCAAACTTTTGAATGGTAGTGTTGTTAGTAGCTTGTAGCTTGTAGGTGGCGAAAAGGGGCTGTTAAAATGTATTTGTCTTTGAATCATACAAGAGATTCGTTCAAGAACGCTGATTCATCCAGTAATGAAACAAGTACATCTTAAGTGAGTCATTTAATCATTAATTCATAAATTACATGCCTGTTGAATTTTGTTCATGGTATTCAGCTCCAAATAAATGGTTTGCAAAAAAGAGACACAGGATAAACGTTTGATATCATTATTTAATCACATTGGAATCGAAACTGGGAATCGAAAAGAATCGGAATCGATAAGCAGAATCGGAATCGAAATCGGAATTGATCAAATTCAAACGATACCCAACCCTACATCTGTCCTATTTTTCATCATTGAATATCCTGTTTCTTTTAGAAGTATGTCACATAATAGGTGAAATGGTTTGCGAATGCTGTTTTGTTGACTTTATCTGCTAATGTGGCCATGGTGCCTGTGTTTATCGTGTGTTATGCCTCTGTTAGCCTCGTATTAGCCGCCTGTTTCTCTGTTTGCTCATGTTTAGCTGACCTATTCACACAGGAGGCTCTGCACACACGTAGGCAAATACGCAGCACTTACAAGAATGATTAGCCCTATAAAATAGAACTTTGCACTGCTATTGGCAAACTCCACTGTGCCTTTCAACTTTATCTGA